TCTTTGCTTTATTGAAAATTTATTTTTTAAATTTATGGCTCATTGAAAGTTCCATGCTAATGAGTTTTTTTTCCCCAGGTATCATGATTTATATTAACCTGCTTCTTTTGTTTGTAGAATATTCTGAAGTCAAAGCTTAAATGTTTAAATAATATTTTAGGTTTTAAAAAATAAAATATAACATAATATGATATTAATTAGTTAAAAATTTTTGAGATGCTTTTATTCCATCCTTAGTTTTAGAATTTAGATATTTCTAGTGAAATTTATATTATTTAAAATACTTAAAAGCTGGTGCGCCTGGTGGTGCAGTCCGTTAAGTGTCTGACTCTTGGTTTTCTGCTCAGCTTGTGACCTCAGGTTGTGAGATGTCAGGCTCCATGTTAAGCCAGAGTCTGCTTAAGACTTTCTCTCCCTCACCCTCTGCTCCTCCCCTGCACACTGTTGTGCTCTGTCTCTCAAGTATGTAAATCAGTAAATCTTTAAAAGAAATAAAATACTTAAAAGCCATTGTATATTTGTCTTTATATCTATATTCGTAATAAATAGCAATAAATGAGACTTGAGTTCCATAAAGGAAATGGAAAATGATTTCAAAATGTTTACATAAGCTTCCTTAAAACTTATACTTTTTATTTCCATTTTTTCCCCCAAAGATTTTATTTATTTGAGAGACAGAGAGAGAAAGAGAGAGAAAGTATGAGCCAAGGTGGGGCAGAGGGAGAGGGAGAAGGAGATTCCCCACTGAGCGACAAGGGACTCAATTCCAGGACCCCGAGATCACAACCTGAGCCAAAGGCAGATGCTTAACTGACTGAGCCACCCAGGAGCCCTCACTTTTTATTTCCATTTTAAAAAATGTTAAAACAGTTCAGAGACTTCCTTAAGAAACCCAGGGATCTTACTGTAAAATGCAGATGTGAGAAACTTTATGCAGAGTGAATGGACACACATCAGTAAGAGAAAGGATGAAAACCAAATGGTCATTTCAGTAGATGCAGAAAAAGCATTTGACAAAGTACAACATCCATTCATGATAAAAATCCTCAACAAAGTAGGTCTAGAGGGAATATACCTTAACATAATGAAGGCCACGTACTAAAAACCCACAACCAACATCTTACTCAGGTATGTGTGCTTTTACCCTAAGATCAGGAACCCCTATGGTCCAACAATCATACTCCTGGGTATTTATCTAAAGAATATGCAAATGCTAATTCAGAGTGATATATACACACCTATGTTGATTACAGCTTTATTTACAATAGCCAAATTATGGGAAGAACCCAAATGTACATCAACTGATGAATGTATAAAGGTGTGGTTTATAGATATACACAATATAATACTCATCCATCAAAAAGAATGAACTCTTGCCATTTGCAATGACATGGGTGGAGCTAGAGAGTATAATGCTAAGCGAAATAAGTCAGTCAGAGAAAGACAAATACCATATGATTTCACTGGTATGTGGAATTTAAGAAACAAAACAAATGAGCAAAGGAGAAAAAAGCAAGTCAAGAAACAGACGTTTAACTGTAGAGAACAAAACTGTTGGTTACCAGAGGTGGGTGGGGGAGTGAAAAAGGTGGTGGGAATTAAGGGGTACACTTACCATGATGAGCAGTGAATAATGTATAGAATTGTTGAATCACTATATTGTACACTTGAAACTAATATAACACTGCACGTTAACTATACTGGAATTAAAATGAAAAACTTAATAGAGTGAATAGACAGGAGTTATACTTTTTTCTTCAGAAAAGTAGGAAAAGCAAAGAGGCTAACAAATACTAATATTTATCTACTGTGCTAAGTGTCTTACATATAATGACCGGTATAATCCTCACAGCACCTTTGTATGGTAGGTAGCATTGATACCATTTTAAAGATGGACAGACCAAAGTCTTTGAACTGGTAGGAGCAGAACCAGAATTTAGAATTGGGACTCATGCCCACTGCTTTCTCATGATTGTGAAAGAGTGATACTTTCCACAGACTAACAGAAACAGGATTCTACTACTCTGCCCCTCCAAAGATAGCTAATACAAAAGATTATAGGGGAAGAGTAGGGATGTTGAGGAGCCAACCCTTGTATTCCAAAGAGCACTTGACAACAAGGGGTTGCAGATGAACTTCGGACTGTGAAAACAGTTTAGCCAAGAAAATTAAAGCACTTAAGTCTATTCCAGTGAATCCAAAATAATACTTTGACATTTTTTTTGTTTTTAAGATTTTGCACTCTATTATTAAAATCTTGTAAAGAGAAAGTGGAAGCTGAGAATATATTAATAGTTAAAAAAGTAGAAAATAAGTGGGCAAAGAACATGAGATTTTAGTAAGCCAACATTTGCAATACATTTGATCTGCTAATATTTAAAAATATACCTGGAGAGATTTCTGTTTTTCAATTTGGAAGAAGTTTTTTAAAAGCAGTAGTCAGTTTGTATACTAAACAGAGGTTATTCTCAGTTAAAACTTTCATTACTCGGATGTTCATATAGAAAAAGGTGTTTTAGGGAACAATTTTATAATGTATACTAACATTACATTGTCATTGAATTCAAGATCTCTACTGAAAATCTTTCCTAGGAAAACAATACAGAATTAGAGAAAAAAAATACTACATAGGAACTTCTGTCTCTATATATATCCTAAGTTTACATTTATGGTGTGTGTGTGTGTATTTGTATATATGTGCTTGTGTGTATATATATATATATTGTACATATATATAGTAGATATTGTATATATACAAGAGTATATGTATATTTATGAATATATATATGTATATAGGTTGGTTGATTAGTTAGTTGGTTAGACAGATAGGGCGGGAGGAAGGCAGGCAGGGTCAGCTTTCTTAAAAAAGAGGTTTGCAACTATTGTAAATTATACCTAGCCACATAGAAAATCATTATAGTTTTGTAGTGTAATGTTAAGTGAAAAACACAGGATAGAAATTGCTTGTACTCATAAGAATTGGCTGGAGCACTTAAATCTGGAGTAACATGAAAGTGCAATGCATGTGAAAAAATAATTGAAAGAAATACACATGATTTTTCCCTATGGTGTGGTACTTTTATATAACTATTAAAAATTCTGTGAACTATTAGATTTTTATTTATTTATTTATTTTAAAGATTTTATTTATTTGACAGAGAAAGACACAGCGAGAGAGGGAACATAAGCAGGGGGAGTGGGAGGGGGAGAAGCAGGCTTCCCGCAGAGCAGGGAGCCCGATGTGGGGCTCGATCCCAGGACTCTGGGACCATGACCTGAGCTGAAGGCAGACGCTTAACGACTGAGCCACCCAGGCGCCCTTCTTTTTTTTTTTTTTTAAAGATCTTATTTACTTACTTGACAGAGAGAGACGCAGCGAGAGAGGGAACACAAGCAGGGGGAGTGGGAGAGGGAGAAGCAGACTTTCCGTGGAACAGGGAGCCCGATGTGGGGCTCGATCCCAGGACCCCGGGACCATGACCTGAGCCGAAGGCAGACGCTTGACGACTGATCCACCTAGGTACTCCAACTATTAGATTTTTAGAGGAATATATTTTAACCTGATAGTAACGGAAATTCAGCATGGGGCTGTAATACTTTGTTATAAAATTCTGAGCTAAGCCTGTCTATCCACAGGGTTGTAGTATTATGCTACGGACACACCCTCATTCACTTCTTAGGAGCTTTCCTAAGTTTACATTTAGGGCATAACCATACATCTGCTGTTGAATTCCTAATTCTAATTCCCCTAGATCTGTCCCATATGGATCTCATCACCTTATGCCTGAACTGTTAGACTGCTTCAAAGACCTGGCAGAAGAAAAATGCCCGATGCTGCTCTGGCAAACCATAGTTCCTCACCTTACACCCTACTGAGTGGTGCCAGTGGGACCTCAGATGGTCTGTGGGTCTGCATGTTTTAGTTCATCCTAAGACCCCTAGGGGGTGTTGCAGTAGTATAATTCTACAGTTAGTTTGTCATTTTTAAAGTGACAAAAGTAGCATTCATAATAGTTAATTACTTAATTCGTTTAGTTTTATCAGTACTTTGAGAAGAACATTTGACTAGGAGTCCGGACACATGGCTTTTAGTCCTAGGTTTTTAATACTGGATTATATTACCTTGGGCAAGTCAGTTAATCTCTGAAATTCAATTTTCTTAAGTGTTAGATAAGAAATTTGACCAATGTCATTTCCGATGTCCCTTCCAACGCAAAATCCTATAGTTCTCTTATTTTCTTATCATCATAAGTTAATTTTTAATCCTCTTTTATGGGAGCATTCCAGATTTCTTTTAGCCTGACAGATGATCAGATAGCTGAAAGCCTAAGGTGCTACAGTGTACATTCTTTCAAATTTTGCTTTTGGAAAAGTTGTCAGATTATAGCCACGTAGTTCAAAAAGAAACATTTATTGCCTTTACAATAGAATTTAAAGAATTTAAATTGGGGTGCCTGGGTGGCTCAGTTGGTTAAGCGACTGCCTTCGGCTCAGGTCATGATCCTGGAGTCCCGGGATCGAGTCCCACGTCGGGCTCCCTGCTCAGCGGGGAGTCTGCTTCTCCCTCTGACCTTCTTCCCTCTCGTGCTCTCTATCTCTCATTCTCTCTCTCTCCCTCTCAAATAAATAAATAAAACCTTTAAAAAAAAAAAGAATGACTATGTTTAAAAAAAAAAAAAGAATTTAAATTAAAAATACTTGAGGAACTGGGGTGCCTGGGTGGCTCAGTCGGTTAAGCGTCTGCCTTCAACTCAAATCATGTTCCGGGGTCCTGAGATCGAGCCCCATCGTTGGGCCCCATATCATTGGGCTCCCTGCTCGGCGGGGAGCCTGCTTCTCCCTCTGCCTGCTGCTTCCCCTGCTTATGCTCTCTCTCTGTCAAGTAAATAAAAATAAAAATTAAAAACTAAAAAATATATTTGAGGAACTTTGGGAGGAGAAAACAGTGAATGTTTGAAGAACTTTTGATTATTTTAAGATTTTGGTCTCAACTTTTATAGGTTGTGAACTGGCTTGAAGGGCCTGGATCAGAACAGCTACGAGCCCAGTGGGGGATTGGAGACTCCATCCGGGCCTCCCAGGCCCTACAGCAGAAACATGAAGAGATTGAGAGCCAGCACAGTGTGAGTGCTTTTCCTCTACAAGTTACAGTGCTGTTATTACTGTGCGTAATGAGTAGCGAGTGGGGTGCTAAGGGATAAGTTGCTATAAACTTTGGTATAGGGACATAAAGTGTAGTATGTTTAATATTTAAAGGCCATAAAGTACATTTTGACCATTCAGTATGTATTTATTGGAAGTTTGGTTTTGCTTTTGGCTCCAAAACAGTTTAATTACATATTTTTATAGAAATAAAATTCATGTGAAACTTTAAAAATTACCATGACAGAATAAAGAGTGATAGTACAAAAATAGAACCTTCGTCTGTAGTCCTGAGACAGAAATTATGATCCTTAAATCCTCAGAGGGAGGCCTGGGATGTCCCTGCTTTATTAGGGCTTCTATAGTACAATTAACACCTGAGAATAGTTGCAGAATTGTTGCGTTAATCACAACTGATGGAGAGTGAGTGTAGAGGGTGCAGGATATCTCTCCATTCTTTGTGTGTTTAGGGGCTGCTACTTGTAACTGTGAAGGGGATGATCAAACAAATCTGTTATAAAATTAGAAAATAATCTATAGGCAGATTATAGATAATAATCGTTCAAGAGGGCTTAAAATTTAGCAACTTGTATCTGGAGGAAGTTGATATATGTTGATAAGCTCTTGCTTTGTTAAAGTTAATTCTTCATTATTGAGAAAGTGATAATCCACTTTGTGGATCAATTCGTTCATCCTTTTTCTCCCCCAAGTCATATTATTTCTGATGATAATTTAAATAGGTTGACTAGAAAAGTGGAAAAAGAAACAAATTCATTAATTTCTACCTCCTTAGATTATCTGGCTTAAAAAATTGATCAGTTTATACACACACACACACACACACACACACACACGGCATTCAACCTTGCATATAATATGAAGAATAAAACATCTTTCCCATAAATAAGTAATAAAAGAAGCTAGCCTTCCCCTCCAAAAAAAAAAAAAACAAAACAACACCAAGTGATCAGAAGATACTGTGATTGGATTTATTTGTTAATTGGGGGGGAAAAAAAGTCACGTGTTCAGGGATGAATATAACATGCGTCATCCTGATCACTAGGATCTAAATGCACAATAATAGAGAACTGAAAAAAATTGATCAATAATAATTTAAACTCTGGACCCAGATGAGATTTATGGACTTTGTGAACATCTAATTTTTTCTTTTCCCTTTAACTTCCCCAGTTGAAGTGGTAATTAAAAGTTGGATGGTATTAATAAATGTATATTTTAACTAAATGAGATTAAAGAATAAATGTTGAATCTGCTTTTCTCAGGAATAAATTTGAATTGTTGACCAGGTATCATTTACTCTTTACTAAAGATGTATTTTAACAATATGACATTATTTTCCTCTTTCATACATACCATTCTGTTTAGTTCCTTATATTGTTTTCTTTGTAATATTCCCCAAATCAGCTTTAATAATTGCAGTATGGCAGATAAAATATACACTGTACTCTATAGGACTTTTAAGCTAGCTGAGAGAATAATATAGAAGAGGTTTCACAAGATTTGGATTTGGAATCTTCTAAAGATAGTGCATATATTGCCTGCAATTTTCCTAATTAGTACTTGTAAGAGAGTGATTGATTGATAGGGAAGGAAAAGGGCAAAGGGAGAGGGAGAGAGAATCTTAACGCAGGCTCCATGCCCACTGCAGAGCCCCATGCGCTGCTTGATCTCACAACCCTGAGATCATGACCTGAGCCGAGATCAAGAGTTGGGTATTTAACTGACTGAGTCACCCGAGCACCCCAGTACTTGTACGAGTTTAAAAATGAAATCCTGTAATTGAAAAAAAAATCTGTATATTTTATTCATTTCACAGGGTCCAACATAATGTTTTTTCCTTTTATGCTAAAAAAAAAAAATACTGAATAATTTGTATTTAATTTATAACCCCTGTTCTGAGGTTATAATCTTTTAATGTTCTTGGTACTTTTTATTTTTTTATTTTAATTTTATTTATGTTTTTAGAGAGGGAAGGGAGGGACAGAGGGAAAAGGAGAGAGAGAATTTTTTTTTAAGATTTTAAGGGGCACCTGGATGGCTCAGTTGGTTAAGTGTCTGCCTTTGGCTCAGGTCATGATCCCAGGGTCCTGGAATCGAGCCCCATGTCAGGCTCTGCTCAGTGGGGAGCCTGCTTCTCCCTCTCCCTCTGCCTGCCTCTTTTTCTCTCTCTCTCTGTGTCAAATAAATTTTTAAAAAATCTTTAAAGATTTTGGGGCGCCTGGGGGGCTCAGTTGTTAAGCGTCTGCCTTCGGCTCAGGTCATGATCCCAGGGTCCTGGGATCGAGCCCCTCATCGGGCTCCCTGCTCTGCGGGGAGCCTGCTTCTCCCTCTCCCACTCCCCCTGCTTGTGTTCCTGCTCTCGCTGTGTCTTTCTCTGTCAAAAAATAAATAAAATCTTAAAAAATTAAAAAATTAAAAAAGATCTCTAAAGATTTTATTTATTTGAGAGAGAACACGCGCACACGTCACGCAAGGAGGGCGGAGGGGGCAGAGGGAGAGGACCTCAAGCAGACTCCGTGCTCAGCCCACCACAGGGCTCTATCTCATGATCCTGAGATCATGACCTGAACCAAAACCGAGAGTTGGAGTTTAATCCACTGAGCCACTCAGGCGCCCCTCTTGGTACTTTTTTTTTTTTTTTTTAAGATTTTATTTATTTATCTGAGAGAGAGCACATGAGAGGGGGGAGGGTCAGAGGGAGAAGCAGACTCCCTGCTGAGCAGGGAGCCCGATGTGGGACTCGATCCCGGGACTCCAGGATCATGACCTGAGCCGAAGGCAGACACCCAACCGACTGAGCCACCCAGGCGCCTGATACTTTTTAAATTACTTAATTCCGTTGGTATTTTTGATATTGACTGTGACTTACTTGAACCCTGTGGATTGTTCTGGAGCATGTTACTATAGGATAACTATATCCTGTAATTTGTACCCTTTTTGGTTCTTCTTTTTTTTTTTAATTGTATTTATTTATTTGTCAGAGAGAGAATGAGAAAGAGAGAGAGAGAGAGAGAACGCACACAAGCATACACAAGTAGGGGAGTGGAGGCCGAGGGAGAAGCAGGCTCCACACTGAGCAAGGACCCTGATGTGGGTGGGACTCAGTCCCAGGACCCTGGGATCATGACCTGAGCTGAAGGCAGACACTTAATCATCTGAGCCACCCAGGCATCCCACCCTTTTTGGTTCTTGAAAACAGTATTTGCTATAAAACATTCTAGACTTTATCCAGAGGATTTAGTTATGAAAGTATCCCCGAAGTCCTTTAAATAAAGATATGTGACACATGAGGGTCCTAAAGACAGGATTTATCTATATTTTACAATTTTTTAAAGATATCAAGAGGAGTAATTATACTTTGAAGTTGGATTATATACCTATTATAAAGAAGTTCACAGAAGGAATTGAAAAGCATATTTTTTTTTATTTTTATTTTTTTATAAGCTCAGATATTAGGGACTAAAATCTTTTTTTTTATTATGTTATGTTAATCCCCATACATTACATCATTAGTTTTTGATGTAGTGTTCCATGATTCGATGTTTGCATATAACACGCAGTGCTCCATGCAGTATGTGCCCTCTTTAATACCCATCACCAGGCTAACCCATTCCCCTACCCCCCTCCCCTCTAGAACCCTCAGTTTGTTTCTCAGAGTCCATAGTGTCTCATGGTTCGTCTCCCCCTCCAATTCCCCACCTTCATTTTTCCCTTCCTGCTATATTCTTTTTTTTTTTAACATATAATGTATTATTTGTTTCAGAGGTACAGAAAAGCACATTTTATGTTGCATATAGTATGGATGAAATTACAAATTGTATACATAGAGATTCTTGTGTTTAGATTTTTGTTTTTGTATTTTTATTGATAAAGTTTACAACTGTTTATTTTACTTATTTTTTAAAATTTTTTTTATTTACTTGAGAGATCGAGAGAGAGAGACTGCACAAGCAGGGGTGCAGCAGATGGAGAGGGAGAAGCAGGCTTCCTGCCGAGCAGGGAGCCCCATGCGGGGCTCGATCCCAGGACCCTGAGATCATGACCTGAGCCAAAGGCAGACGCTTAACGACTGAGCCACCCAGACGCCCCAACCATCACCTTATTTTTATACATAAACAAATTGAGAGGGAACATTTTTCGATCACTGGATAGCTGGACAAGTGTTAAAACACCAGTCTCTTCATACTCATGAAATTCTTTTTCCCCTCTCTATATCTCTGTATTTCTCTCTCTCTCTCCCTTTCTATATTTTTCTCTCTGTCAGTTTGTCTGTCTCACTCGCTTACTAGCTCGCTCTCAGAGAAAGCTAAATTTCATGGATGTGCTTAAGATAACAGAATTTTTTTCATTCCTATTCTCTTAATACTTGAGGACATATGCACATATATTGATGTTTGTGTTCAGGGACATAGTGCTCAAAGAAAAGAAACATTGATGACTTACGGATTTCATTTCTTTAAATGATGTATGTTAGTTTCAAAATTGGAAGGTGGGGACAAATTGGATGGGAATGTAGAAGAAACAGAATTGGTCATGAGTTGATAGTTACTGAAGATGGATGGCACAAGGGGTTCATTATACTGTTCTTTCCACTTTTGAATAGTTTGAAATTTTTCATTCTGCAAGGTTTACAAATGAGAATTGCATTGTTTTAATCAGTAGGTGGCACTACATTGTCACCTTGAGAATAGGTTGATGCAGGATGAGTATATTAGCTTATGATGTTCTAATATTTTATTAAAAGCTTTCTTTTCTCTTTGTAAATAAGAGTCAACACTTTAAAGCATATGTTGGAGTTGTTCAGGTCTTAATGAAGTTATGACAAATTTCTAGTGTATTGATTGCTTAATAGGGGTAGAAATTAACATACCATTTTGTATTAAATCACTCTGTCAAGTATTAAATTTTAGATTCTTCATAAAAGCATAATTCATAAAACAAAAACCCAAATTTATTAGAATAT